ATGGACATTTTTATAGAACATCCTATAACAGAGGTAGTTGAAGAAAATTGTATCATCTTCCACAAACTGAAGGACAGATAACTTGAGTTCCTTTAGTTGTGGGTGAAGTAGATGTCGTGTTGTCCTCCTTAACGATGTTTTAACACTCGTTTATTTTATCGTTATGGTTTAAACTATAGATATAAAACACGGTATATTCTTTTGCTCTTCTTTCCACACATTTCATATACATTTTTCATATACATTTCCTACACATTTCATACACATTTCATACACATTTCTTTTCATCACACCATCACTCGTCTTAATTTTCTCTAGGACATAAGACAAGAGGTGTATCCATTAAGCCATTCTCACCCTAAATAATGCCAATGTTTAACACAGATTGGTTTATGAAGTGATACTGAAGAACACTGTAGTTTAACACTGAGTGGCACTATAATATAACAACGTGAGCACCATAATATAACAACGTGTGGCACCATAACACTGAGTGACACCATAATTTAACACTGAGTGGCACCATAATTTAACACTGAGTGGCACTATAATATAACAACGTGAGCACCATAATATAACAACGTGTGGCACCATAACACTGAGTGACACCATAATTTAACACTGAGTGGCACCTAAATTTAACACTGAGTGGCACCATAATTTAACACTGAGTGGCACGATAATATAACACTGTGCGGCACCATAATATAACACTGAGTGGCACGATCATATAACACTGAATAGCACCATAACACTGAGTGGCACCATAACACTGAGTGGCACCATAACACTGAGTGACACCATAACACTGAATGGCACCATAACACTGTGTGGCACCATAACACTGTGTGGCACCATAACACTGAGTGGCACCATTACACTGAGTGGCACCATAACACTGAATGGCACCATAACACTTGAGTACCACCATAAGCTAAAGCACCATATAGCACCACAATATACCACTAAATTACACTTTTACTTTACTCCCTCCTACTTCCTTTCCATCTCTCCATTCTTTCCTCATTCATTCCTTCCTCTCTCTCTCTCTCTCTCTCTCTCTCTCTCTCTCTCTCTCTCTCTCTCTCCTCAATACACTTCCAGGAACTACACCAAACTCTCAAGATTACTTCAGTGTGTATCAGTTAATCACCTCCAGGGACTGCTTACATCATCACTTCCAGCTTATTGTTTGTCTGCTTAAGCTTATCTGTGGTGGTGGTGGTGGATGCTGGGACTCTGACTTGTTGTTCATTAATCTTTCGTAAGTGTCGGTAATGCCTGGTTATGTGTGGATAGATTTTCGTGTTACCACTTGATTCGATTCCAGATTTTCTTTTTTTTTTATAATCTTGATGTCAGATTTTTCACGTCAGATTTCGAGTGTTATTCTTGGTCTTGTTTGAGTGAGTTGGTGTATATTTTTGTTATTGTTTGGTTTGATGGGTTATGTATATTTTCGTTGTATATATATATGTATATTTTAGTGTGCATAGTTGTTTATGAGGTTAGATTAATACGAGGTACCTGGTGATGGTCTTCATTAGCTACCTGGTTACCTGGTGAGTGTAAGTCCAGCCATATCACACCAAGGGACGGGGGGGGGACACACCACCTAGCCACATCACACCATGGGGGGACACACCACCCAGCCACACCACACCAGGGGGGACATACCACCCAGCCACATCACACCAGGTGGGGGACACACCACCCAACCACATGGGGGACATACCGCAGCCACATCACACCAGGACACAGCCACACCACCACACCAGGCACACACCCAGCCACACCACCACACCCCAGGGGACATACCACCCATACATCACACAGGGGGGGACATCACCTTGCCACACCATACCAGGGAGGCACACCACCCAGCCACACCACACCACACCAGGGGGGACATACCACCCAGCCATATGACACCAGGGGGGGACACACCACCCAGCCACACCACACCAGGGGGGACATACCACCCAGCCACATCACACCAGGTGGGGGACACACCACCCAACCACATAATAAATGACAATAATGGTTGCCCCTCGTGTAACGAGGATGGCCGGCCCAAGGGCCACCTGGGCGTGAATTTGTTAAGGTGTAGAAGCTGTCGCCAACACAACAACCACACCCTGAGTTAACAAGTTGCATGACCCAGTGTCAAAGAATAGTCCGAGAAGACCGGACAACTCTCCAACTGCACTGGCTAACCATTACGATCCTCAAATCAATTAACATCCAGGTTCCCAATTACTGCTGGGTAGATAGACAGAGGCAAATGGCGTAAAGAAACTTGCCCATAGTTTCACCCTGCCTGGGGATCGAACCCGGGTCCGCTCGCTTGCACAGATCCCCAGCCACACCACACCAGGGGGGCATACCACCCAGCCATATCACACCAGGGGGAGGGAGGAACCACACCATTCCAGGAGGGAGGAACCACCATTCCATGGGGGGTGGGCCACACCATTCCAGGGGGAGGGAGGAGCCACATCATTCCAGGGGGGAGACCACACCACACCAAGAGGAGCCCCTGGTCATCATCTTCGCCTCCTTTATTAAGTCACCCCTTGTACCTCGCTCCAGGACAGACCGGCTAACTTTTCCCAGAAAGTTAAAACACATAGAGGGAGGCCACTGGAGACCTGGATCGTGTAACCTGGCCTCACCTGACCTCTCTACTTTCTTCACGGAGGCCAGGAGAAGACCCCCAAACACGTGCTCGAGGCCAAACTAAATCCTTAACTCTTCATATTGATTCAGCTTTTTTTTAGAGAGAGAGAGAGAGAGAGAGAGAGAGAGAGAGAGAGAGAGAGATTTTATTGACCAAAGTGACATATCATAGTTTAAGAACACATTACAAATACAAACACGCATACACGGGGTATAATAATCAGACCAACTCACCACAGGTAGATATTATAGTCTCACCTGTACGACCATCCAATTATGCGACACCTTGATGATGATGAATAACACACCTCAATTAACTTTAAAAAAAAAAAAGATAAATTGATTTTGATTCAGAGAAATAAATTCTTTTGTTGTGGTGAGCGAAGTCTATTGTAGTGAGACAATAGGGAAGTAGAGTTACCTTATGGGAGATATGAACTTAGAATATAAAGCAAGTTTACCTGTGCTTAAAAAAAAAATACCAAGTTTTCATTATTTCCTATTAAAAAAGTAAATAAAAGTTCAAAGAAGATAATTTTTAGAACTGACATCAAAGTTTTAACTCAAAGTAACAATAATTTTACAGCGTTTTGAGACAGGATATACCTTGATGCTACCAGTGTGTGTTTTGGTGATACTAAATACAGTAATGAATCTATGTGTCAGAGGTTATCTACAGCAATGAGATATAATGCTACATAAATTCATTATATTTACCATTTTCTGTAGTTTTTGTAGATGTTAGACTCAGCTAGACGTAACACAGTAAGACGATCTGTAACTGCACATGTGGTATAATTTTTACACAACCAGTGCTATAATTTGTGCACATGTGGTAGAACTATTTACAAGTGTGTGACAATAAACATGGTATAATTAAGTCACCTGTAACAACATAATCAACCTGTGATACATTCAGTGCACATGTGGTACAATTATCACACCTGTGCAAATGTGGTACAATTATCACACCTGAATTACATCACACCTGTGCATATGTGACAGTTATTGCACATATAATACAATAATGACACCTGTGATATAATAACCCTCACATATGTGGTACAAATATCACACTGCATTACAACACACCTGTGCGAATGTGGTACAATTATCACACCTGAATTACATTACACCTGTGCATATGTGACAGCTAACGCACATTATGATACAATGATGACACCTGTGATATAATAATCCTCACACATGTGGTATACAATTAGCCAAGGTGTGTTCAGTGTAAAATAACACATAACAACTGTGCTGTGTACTGTAATTACTAGATAACACAAGGCAGGAATAAATACAACAGCCTGGAGTGTGTTATTAAAATACAACAACAGGCAATGTATGTATGTATGTATGTATGTATGTATGTATGTATGTATGTATGTATGTATGACAGTTAACATCCATCTCAGGTATATGTTAATTTAACGACCATTTAGCGTGTAGGCGTCTATTCAAAGGTGTGTGTGTGTGTGTGTGTGTGTGTGTGTGTGTGTGTGTGTGTGTGTGTGTGCTGGTAGTTAAGAGCAGGGGGGCGGGGATGGATGCAGGTCAAGGCGTGGGAGAGAAGTCAAGGCGTGGGGGGAGAGGTGAGGGAGAGAAGGGAGGCGTAGGAGGGACAGGAGGCAGAAGGGAGGCGATGACAGAAGGAGGCGGAGGGAGGTGTGGGGACAGAAAGGAGGCGTGGGAGTGAGGAAGGGGAGGGAGGGAGGTGAGGGGACAGAAAGGAGGCGTGGGAGGGACAGAAGGAGGCGTGGGGAGGGAGGTGGAGACAGAAAGGAGGCGTGGGGAGGGACAGGGAGGGAGGTGGGGAGGGAGGTGAGAGACAGAAAGGAGTAAGGGAGGGAGGTGAAGGGAGGCGTGGGGAGGGACAGGTGGGAGGCGTGGAGGGACAGAAGGAGGCGATGGACAGAAGGAGGTGGGGAGGGAGGTGAGAGACAGAAAGGAGGCAAAGGGGAGGGAGGTGAAGGGGTGGCGTGGAGGAGGTGTGAGGGACAGAAAGGAAGGGAGGGACAGAAGGGAGGCGGGAGGGAGGTGAGAGACAGAAAGGAGGGGCGTGGGGAGGGAGGTGAAGGGAGGCGTGGAGGGACAGGGAGGCGGGAGGGACAGAAGGCGATGGACAGAAAGGGAGGCGTGGGAGGAGGTGAAGGAGGGAGGGACAGGTGGGAGGGGAGGGACAGAAGGGAGGCGATGGGCAGAAGGGAGGCGGGGAGGGAGGTGAAGGGAGGCGTGGAGGAGGTGAAGGAGTCCGCGTGGAGGGACAGAAGGGGCGAGGGAGGGACAGAAAGGGGGCGTGGGGCGGAAGGACTTACCACAGGACCCCGAGTGCCTGATCCTTATCTCCCGCTGGTTCCTGCAGGCGTGGCGGCGCAGCTCACAGATGGTGGGGTAGGTGTTACCGTCAGTACCGCAGACGGGTGAGGTGGTGGAGGAGGGCGGCGGGCAGGTGGTGGGGCAGGCGCAGGTCGCCACGCCCTCCTCGTCCGTCACACACTCCCCGCCCCAAGCGCAGAACTGCTGCTCACACGGCTCTGTAACACACAGCCTGCACTGCCACACACAGCCTGCACTGTCACACACACAGAGCCTGCACTGCCTCACATGCACCCAAGAGCCTGCACTGTCACACACACACACACACACACACACACACACACACACACACACAATACTACTAATACTACTACCAATACTATCATTAAAGTTTTAACCTGGACGATCACGCAACACTCGTGTACACAACACCTGTTAGTCGTCCCAGAGAAAGAATGAAAAAAAAAAAATCCTGGCCTCAATTTTTATCCTGAATCAACTCCTTTATCCTTGGGCTTTACTTACAGGATTAATACAAACACTATACTAATCATACATCCTATCCCACCGTACATCCTGTCATCAAATCCTCATTATCCACATATCCTATAATGCTCCATATCCTTTTGTTTTTCGTCTCTCCCAAATTCCTTTTACATAGAACTCTTCCAACACACACACACACACACACACACACACACACACACACACACACACACACACACCTGTCATATATCAATCCTCATCAGCATTCTAACTCATCCTGCCCATCACTGTATAAACAAGTTAATATCTCAATAATATCTGTTAACTGTTAGATCTAATTTGGTTATAAACTACATGAAGTTAAGAGAATCAAGGAAGAACCAAAGTGATCTAAATATAATTAATGATAAATTGAATAATGAAACAATAGAATTACATTACAGTAAAAGGTGAACAAATTGATACCTTAAATAGACATGGCATAAGAAATCCCATAGAAAAAATAAATAAATAGTAATTACAGTTAACATGCCAGTATACCTGTTTTAACTTACCTGTGCGATTTTGTGTCACTAATTAATAAAAAAAAAGGTGAAGTGCAGTGCCGCTTGTCTTGCTACATTCTACCTGTGGGCTCATTATATAACTAAGAGAGGAGGGGAGGGGGAAGGGAAGGGGAGGGGAGAGGGGAGAGGGGGAGGGAACGTTCATAATAGATAAAAAAAAAAGGTTTTGTTCAATTCCTCTAGCGAACACAAGACTATCATCATCATCACTACAGTCAAATTAGTTACGTTACACATTTACACCACACACACACACACACACACACACACACACACACAAACACACACCGTCATCTATCTCACTAATCTACCTGTACAAAGGACACGTACCTGTACCTTCCATACTAATTACCAACACCCGCTAGACTGCTAGAAATATTACGTACTTGACCACGTTCACCACACGTACCCCTTCCCACCCCAAAAAAAAAATGCCTGATGATCCTTGACACTCTCTGGCACTGTCCAAGAGGTATAAAAAAAATAATACCCACGGACAGTGTCAGAAGAATAATGTCAGTAAGAAACATGGGATAAAAAAACCTCAATAATAATACCGAAATGAATAAAAATTAAATAAGTGTCTATTGATCCTAAGCCACATCAAACAAGCCCTAAGCCTCCCCCCTCCCCCCCACCCCAACACGTCTGGTACTCCCTCGTACAAACAAGAGTGATAGTGACTACAGTACTATGATCTTAGCGAGTGTAAACAGCAAAGCCACCATTGTTTACACCTGGGTCAAGAGTCAGCAGCAGAGGTGACAACAATGAAAACATGGGTTACGATGCCACCCATTCATCCACCCAATCCCACATCCACCCAACCCACCATCCACCCAACCCACCCAACCCACCCACGTCCTCACTCCTCCTACAATGGCAAGTTCGTGATGAAAACTACGCCACTATGTTTACACTCTCTCGTCTACCCCGCCCATCCACACCCTCACACCCACACCCGCACCAATACCCACACACCAATACCAACCTCTCACGATATTCAAGGCGGGTTAAGTCATCAGTGCCTTCATAAATATTGACAAACATTGCAAAGTTAGGCCAAGTTTGTCCGGTGCCAATATATATATTTTTTTTTCCTCGACTGTGGGAAAAAATTACAAGATAAACTGGGGATATTTTGGTTAGGGGGAAGTAAGGGGTGGGGAAAGAAATGAGGGGGGGAGGGGAGGGGAGGGGAGAGGGAAGGGGAAAAGTAAAGGAGGAATTGAGGGGGAAGAGGGGAGACTGAAGAGTAGGAAAAGGAGGAAGAAGGAAGTTGACTAGAAGTTGAAGGAGAGAAGAGAAGGATGAGAAGGAGGGAGGGAAGTAAGAGAGGAGGAGGAGGAGGAAGAGAGAAGTGAACAAGGGAAATGAGGTGAGACTGTCCTTCCTCTCTGATCGTCTACCACACTTCTTCCTTCTCGTAAACAACCACAGCAACTCTTCCTTCATCTCCCGCTTCCTCTTCTTCCCCTTCCTTCCCCTCTCCCTCCTCCTTCCTCCCCCTCTCCCCTCCTCCTTCCTCCCCCTCTCCCTCTCCTCCTTCCCCCCCTCTTCTTCTTCCCTCCCTTCCTTCTTCTTATCCTCTTTCTGCCTCCTCCTTTTCCCTATTCCTGTCCTTCTTCCCCTTCCCCTATTCTACCCCTCTCCCCCAACCCTGTTTTAAGAAGGGATAATATACCGGCGTCAGCATCTACCGTTCCCTAAATTGTTCTTCACCACAAACTTTATAACTTATACTCCTCTCGTTACACGTCGTCTTGCGAGTCTTCCGATAATGGGGAGGCCGTGTGTGTGTGTGTGTGTGTGTGTGTGTGTGTGTGTGTGTGTGTGTGTGTGTGTGTGTGTGTGTGTGTGTGTGTGTGTGTGTGTGTGTGTGTGTGTGTGTGTGTGGTCCAGGTTAGGATAGGTTAGGAAGTGAAAATCTAAGCTAGCAGATATTAAGTGTTGAAGGTTCAGAGATATACTACCATAGTTCTTCATAGTTAGGGCATCTCACAAGGGGGCCATCTGTCTCCATGCCCAAAAAAAAACTTAACCAGCTACATGGATAAGAACTTTAAGGGAAAAATCTCTCTGTCTCTCTGTCTCTCTTTCCTCCCCTATTTGCTTCTCTCTCTCTCTCTCTCTCTCTCTCTCTCTCTCTCTCTCTCTCTCTCTCTCTCTCTCTCTCCACTAATAAATCTTACATTCAAGGATGTCAGGTATCAAAACACAATAGCCCTTACCTAAGACAAACAAAAGGTACCTCACTGAAACAAAAAAACAAAAACAAACGCAAACACTCCCCTCCCCCCCCAACCCAAAAAAACTAGGGACCCTCACCCTCCCAAAACACACAAAAAAAAAACAATGTGTCTCACTAGTGGAAAAAAAAAGTCATTTATATATAGTTGTGTTAGGGGTAAATATATTTTTTTTTCTCCGTCAGTGAGTAGGTGAGATAGAGAAAAAAAATAATTCACGTAAGGAATATTAAATTGAGGGAGAAGATGGAAGAGGGATAATTGATAATAGTAGGAAGAGAAATGTAAACAAGGAGAGAATGGGATTAGAAATGGAGAAACAGAGGAAAAGCCAAGAACAATGGAGATGTTATTTTAGTGTGTAAGGGATGAACAAAATACAGGTAACACAACACTTAGTAAGCAGATAGGTGGAGTGGGGTGGGGTGAGTGGGACAGTGGGAGTGGGTTGGGAGTGAGTGGGTGGGTGGGGACGAAAGGGAGTGACAGTACAAAGGCAAATAAACCTTAAAATAATCGCCATAAACTTCGAGATACACACACACACACACACACACACACACACACACACACACACACACACACACACACACACACACACACTGACACGTTTCAAAATAAATAAATAAATATTCTAAGCCAAAGCAATATTAGGAATGAGGTAGCAGAACAGACAGACAGACAGACAGACAGACAGACGAGGCAGACAGACAGACAGACAGGCAGACAGACAGACAGACAGACAGACAGACAGACAGACAGACAGACAGACATTAAAACGCAATTCAGACACAAACAGGAATGGCGTCGCTTCTTCCCAGCAACGATCACCACATCAGAAACTGGGGTCATGGTAGGAGGGAGAATTGGGGGTGAGAAGGAGAAGGGGGGAGGGAGGAGGTAGATATCATACGTGTCCTATTAATATACACGACCGATGAGACAAACCTAAACCTAACCTAACCTAACCTAACCTAACCTAAGCCAGGGTTGTAGGACCGTTTTGTGCTGTCATAAAAGGGGGAAGGAAGTGAAGGGAAGGTGATCAACGAGGTGCATCTGGAGGGAAGGAAGGAAGGAAGGAGGGAAGGAAGGAAGGAAGGAGGGAAGGAAGGAAGGAAGGAAGGAAAAAAATGAGTTATGAGGTCAGAAGAACAACAAGAATGGTAGATAAGGAGAGAGAGAGAGAAATATAAGGAGAGGGAGGGAGGTAAATAAGGTGAAATAATAAAGAAGGAGAATAAGGAACAATAAAGACTAACAAAAGAAAATATGAAGGATAAAATAAATATTTAACGAAAAAAAATAGATTAAGAAAATGTATAAAAAAAATGAAAACAAAAGGAATCGAAAAATGAGATGAAGGATAAAGTTACTGATACAATAAAGTGATTTAGAGATTAATAATTACCACAATAAGGTCCGGCCATATCCTTCTGGCCAGACACCACCACCACCACACCCCTCTTCTTCTGGCCACACACCCATCAAGCTGGCCACACACTCCTCAAACTGGCCACACACTCCTCAAACTGGCCACACACTCCTCAAACTGACCACACACTCCTCAAACTGGCCACACACTCCTCAAACTGGCCACACACTCCTCAAACTGGCCACACACTCCTCAAACTGGCCACACACTACTCAAACTGGCCACATACTCCTCAAACTGGCCACACACTCCCCAAGTTGGCCACACACCAACACCTCACGCCCCTCCCAAGCTTTACACACCCTCCCCCCTTCAACTGGGACCAAACACCTGCAAATTTGCTTCCCTAACCAACCAAGCTGTGACAGGTAGGATTATTTCTCTCTTTCACTTTACTTATCAATAACGCATCTTACTTCACTCTCTTAAACAACCTGACGATAACCATGAGAAGGAGACAACATTATTAGAATCAGAGTCTA